GTATATATATAATTGCTCTTCTTCTAGCTCTTAAAGAGTTAAGAAGAAGGCAAGCCTCACGCCATCGTCGTCGCTCGCTCGGCTTCGACTTCGGATTCGAATTTGGTCAAAGATCGATTGATTAATCTTTTTGGACAAAATTTCATTTTCCCGCAATATTTTTAAATCCATTTTCCCGCAATATTTCAAACAACAATGCCAGCAACTCTATAAATAGAGTTTGAATCCCAGAATCTTTCCTTACAAAATTTTCTGATCTTCTTCTTCTTCTTCTGCACAAAAATTCTAGTGTGTTTTTACAGCCTTCGAGTGGCTCGCTGTTCACCGGCGTTTTGGTACCAACACTCCGGTGAGTTAAATCGTTCTATCCTGGGAGGATATATTCCAGCACCTCGGGTACTTGAGGGGAATAATTTCCTTAAGGACACATTGTGTATTCAGTGGGCTCGATTTATTCCTACACTATTTTTTCCAGAATTTATTTCTTTAAACAAGTGTTACTAACTTTCTGTTTTGTTTATATATTTCAGAAAGTTTAATGATTTAATTGTTTATTATAGCAATACAGATTTATAACAATCTTAAGGAAATTATTTTTTCCCCGCGTGAGTTCGGATCTCACAGGCGACGAAGATTGTTATAAATCTGTATTGCTGTAATAAACAATTAAATCATTAAACTTTCTGAAATATATAAACAAAACAGAAAGTTAGTAACACTTGTTTAAAGAAATAAATTCTGGAAAAAACAGTGTAGGAATAAATCGAATCTACTGAATACACAGTATGTCCTTAAGGAAATTATTCCCTTCAAGTACCCGAGGTGCTGGAATATATCCTCCCAGGATAGAACGATTTAACTCACCGGAGTGTTGGTACCAAAACGCCGGTGAACAGCGAGCCACTCGAACGCTGTAAAAACACACTGGAATTTTTGTGCGGAAGAAGAAGAAGATCAGAAAATTTCGTAAGGAAAGATTCTGGGATTCAAACTCTATTTATAGAGTTGCTGGCATTGTTTCTGAAAAGGTTTGCAACCTTTCAGAAACAGCCATGGCTGTTAGAACAGGGTTGTTTGAAATATTGCGGGAAAATAGATTTTAAAATAATCCGGGAAAGAAAACGGGCCTGACCAGACTGGGTCGCGGGTCATGGGTTATTCCGGATTGAATTTTTAGTTAATTATTTAATTAATTAATCCGAAGCCGAGCCGAGCGACGACGGCGCGAGGCTTGTCTTCTTCTTAACTCTTTAAGAGCTAGAAGAAGAGCAATTATATATATACCCATCAAAAGCCTTTTCTTCCTCCAATATGGGACAATGTCCCTTTGCCAAGGAGGGAAAAAAAATATTTCATTTTTCCTCCATTTCTCATTCACCCTCTTTAAGCTACACAAGCTTAAAATCCCAACATGTTATACGTTAATAGACAAACAATATATATTTTGCTGGCTATTATTTTTGGGAGCGGCTTATGCTGTGTAGTCTTCTCTTTATTCTTCCCAAAATCCCATTGATGATTTTCTGTGTCATTTTGTATTTATTGATTTTGTATTTTGTATTTTTGTTCTCAGTTTCATGTCTCTTATCAGTATATTAGGAAATGACTTTGGCAGCATTTGCTATCTGTCAGTAGTATTCTGTAATCCCAGTAGCACCAGTTCTAGCAATGAACTGCTTCATCTCATATTATGGTTCATGTATTTTTATTTACATTTGAATAAAATGAGAATTATGATTATGTAGGCTGAAGTACTTTCCGGACTTCTTTACAGACTAAGGAATTCACCACCTGACAGGTAAACATATCAAACATATCTGTTTTGCCCTTATTGTTAAGAATATTGTGATCATTTACTACTTTTAGACATATAATAACATGACCTCATTCTCTGCTAAGGAAATGTTCATATTACATAAATTCTTTATTCGTCTTGATGTAGTAATATATAGTCTTTTATGTACAGAACAAGGATATTGGGACTTCAGATGTAAGTATAATTCAAACTAAACTAGAATCTTAGTTCACAGTAAAGCAATCATACTGATCAATTAGGTTCTTTACCCTCCACTCAATTCAAGAATTCGAGAATGAACATGTGCCCCGTTTTTATCTAAATAGAAGAAGGTGACACCCCCTTAATTTTCTGTCGAATGAAATGGGATAATGGCGGATTATGAGTTAAATATGGAGATGGATGAGTTCCTTTGTTACTAATGAAGTAAAATCAAGCTCATCAGTTTATTATCCATGTATGTAGGTTGATAAGTATAGGCTGCTATTTATAGTTCAGATATCCTACATCACACCCCTCGGGATGCAGCACTTTCCTGGACCTGCGTGAATGCCTTTTTTATATCCAATTCTTGAAATTGAGATTGCCTATGAAAGAAAGATAAACAAATTCAGTATTTTTATGAAATTTCATGTAGACAGCCAAGCTTGATAACCAAAAGTTACAACTATTCCAACTAGATCAATGTCATTCTTGTTTGTACTTAACTGAAAATATTAATTAAGAAATTCTTGACTAAACAGGTATGCATGTTTAGTTGCGGAGCCCTCAAGTGACAGTCCGCAAGATATTGTTGGGGTCGTCGATGCTACAGCATTTAGAGATAACGATGTTCTTCAGTACCTTCCTGGAGCAGCAGAATATCTCTATATTTCTGGGATAGCTGTATTGAATAAATTCAGGTCCATGACTTAATACTTTAGATTGATGCTTCCTTTGATATGGCACAAATTAAAATGTTTTTTTGTTAGATTCTTAATGTTCATTATCTTGAGTTGTTACAAATGTCTTAAAATTAATGTCAAAGAAACATCTTAAACAGATGTTGCAAAAATAACTATCATTATTAGAGGTTCGAGTCACTTTATTATGCGATTAACTCTCTTTACTGCTACTTCATAATATACAACATAAATCCTTTTACTATATTATCAACCAACTTTCAGCTATTGATGCTTGCATAGAACATTATTCAGATATGCAGCAAATATAGATAATGATCCTTTGTTATTTTGAACATACAGATGAGCCTTTTTTCTGTCAAAATGGTATTTGATTTGAGACACTAAAAGTGTTTTGTATCAATTGCAGGAGGCAGAAAGTTGCAACTGCTTTGCTTAAGGCTTGTGATGTGCTTGCAAGATTTTGGGGTTTCGATTATCTCGCCCTAAGGGCATATGAGGATGATTTTGGTGCTCGACGATTGTATACAAACGCGGGGTACAGGTTAGTTTCAAGTGATCCGCCATGGACAACTACGTGGATTGGTCGAAGAAGGCGAGTTCTTATGGTTAAACAGGTTTTACATGAATCAACTACTAACATTCATTGAAACAAAGACATTGCTTCAAGTCTTTTGACAGTCACTCAAAGTACCTATGAATTGAATTGTGTAAATACAATATAGTTGTACAAAACTGTTTTGATTGATCTTCAGGAAAGAGTACTGTTTCTTGAATCTTGTGAATATTTCCTTTTATTTTTTCAGAGTTAGCTAGCTGACTGCTGCTGTTCTATATTCATATGAAATACCTTAACCAGATTTAGTTGTCTTTTCTTAAGTCTCATAAAAGTGTGCAAAAGAGAAAAAGTGAAAATCTTTGTCTCTTAAGGAGACTTATCCTTGGCAAAGCTCAATCTCCCTAAGTCAATTTATTTCGCATGGTAGATCCGCCCCTCACATCATGACCATTTAACAAATGCTTTTACGCGCAAGGGATCTGTCTTTTACACATAAGAGATCTAAAAAGGTCATTTTCTTAAATTCAAAATTATAAAGGGGCATGATGTACAAATAGCACCTATAGAGCGAATTTTCCTCTCATTTATGTAATTCTACCTCTGTAAGCCCAATCCCAATTTTTGTCTTTATAACGCCATTTAATTATTTAAGAGAAAAAAAACAGATTAAAGAAGGCGAATAATTAAGAAAATCGAAGAATATGGTGCATAGTGTAAAGATATTGATGACAGCCTCAAGAGTAAAGAAGGTCAAAGATAATTTTTCGATTGAAATGACTAAAAAGATAGAAAACATAAGAATATGAGGAGCAGAAGAGTCTATGTGAATAACATTTCTTCATTTCAAATAGGAAAGTTTTCCTTTTCTTTCTATAAAATTCAATTTTCAGCTTAACTCTGTGTTACTAACACTTTGCACCTAGGCCGAGTATTCCTTTGTACATAGATAAAACACGACGACAACAACAATATATCCAGTATTATCCCACACCTTAGGGTCTGGAGAGGGTAATGTGTACGCATACCTTATCCCTACCTTGTGAGGATAGAGAGGTTGTTTCCAATAGACCATCGGCTCAGGAACATAGATAAAACACGATAGACATAAAAATATACATGCTTGACGGAGATATAATGAAGGATGAAATCAAATTAAAGAGTTAACATTTGAGAGTTGAATATCATAAGACTCAATTATCTAGAGAAAGCACAATTAGCATTGCTTAAATGCGAACATTCATACATATCCAATGAAGGAAATATTGGTATGCGAATAAAGTACCATATTGGTAGCCGAAAAAATTGTAAGCTTATATATAAGGTGTAGAGATCTCTTAATAGCATGAGCCCACAAAAATATTATATCTAACTTAATAATAAACTTTAATTTTGAAAAATAAATAAATAAATAACAATCACATTATCATATTGATGTTATGACCGGCGAGAAAGAATTTAATGACGTTTCGGGATAAAAAGATCAAACTTTCTGGGTGTGTTTGGTATAACGGAAAATATTTTCTAAGAAAATATTTTTTTGGAAAACAAGTAGTAATCTTATTCATTTTCCGGTGTTTGGTACGCAAATTAAAGAAAATAACTTCTCAAGAGTATTCATAAATAATTTAGATACAATAAACATGAAGTCAAAAACTTTCGAACCAACAACCTTTCGAACCCACAAATTTCATAAACTTCCGAACTGCTAAACTTTCGAAACCACGAAATTTCGAACCCATAAACTTTATAATTTCTAAGCCCGTAAACTTCCAAACACATAAACCTCTAAACTCATAACTTTGGAACTTGTAAAATTTCGAACCTGTAAACCGAAAAATGAAAAAACTAAAACTGAAAATATATATAAAAAATATTTTTTTCCCGGGGGTAGGGGGCAGGGGTGTAGAAAAACGAAAAAACTGAAATTTAAAATTATAAAATAAATAAATAAATAAATAAATTGTGCGGGGTGGGGGTGGGTGAAAAAAAAATTTGAAAATGACAAAAAAATAAAACTTTTTT